GTATCTTCTTTGGAGAAATCTCTCTTCAGTCTTTTGCTTATTCTTTAAATGGGTTGTCTTTGTATTACCGGGTTGTAAGCATTCTTTTAATATCTTAGGTGCAAGTCCCATATCAGATATATGATTTGCAGAAATGTTCTCCCATTCTGTGGTCTTTCTTTACATCTTTTTGTTCTCCCTTGAGGATCATGGGTAAGAGGCATCTCCATTGCTTGTAGTCACTGTTCTTTCTGCTACTGAAATTGTCCTGGGTTTAGTCAGGGGGAGCCCCTCCCCAAGGATTCCTTTTCTATCAACACAACCCCTCTCATTCTCCCAAAGGTAGAATTTCAGCCAGTGTCAGGGCAGATCAGAGGGTTTTCCAGGCTTCTGCAGTCACAGCCCAAGGGCTCATCCCAGCTCCGTCCCGCTGCAGCGGAGAAAGCAGACTGGCTCCCACCACGGACTAAGTCTGTAGTCAGAGATGTGAGCTTCCATTTCTGTTGATGCCCTTGTAGCGGGGGCACAGCTAATGAATGAACAGAAGGCAAGCTGAGGACAAAGCAGAAGTTGACACCCTGCAACCCCACCACCCCATGGGTGATGTAAGACATTCCTCAGGCACTCCTGGCTGTCCTAAAGGAAAAACAAATAGTTAACTTGTAGAGATCACAATCCTGCAAGACCTGAGTCTTCTTCCTCAGTTTACTTACAAAAGCCTTTAGCAATAGCTTCCAGAAGGGAATGTAGATACAATTAAATGCCCTTATAACCTGCAGCCCGTGGACAGATAATTTAAGCAGGCCGAGTGTAATGTTCCTCCAGGAAATTCCCAACTATCTTAATGTTAATGCCTTACTAGAGGGGTAAACAACCTTAAGTTGACAATGGCAAGGCCTCTGGTATCCTGTGAGTCTTCTTTAGCATATGAAAGTTCTTTCTCGAAAACTTGCATTTTCCTCACTTCCCCCAACCCACGGTATATAATCAGCCACCCCTCACAACCCCTGTGCGGCAGCTCTTTTTGCCTGCGGGTCCTGTCCCTGTGCTTTAATAAACCACCATTTTGCACCAAAGACATCTCAAGAATTCTTTCTTGGTCTTCGGCTCTGGACTCCACCCCACTGAACCTCACCTATATTCCAAAACCACATCACAGGGATGCACGAGCACTTGGCTCCAGGAGTCTCAAACACACTGGGTCTGCTGTTACTGCTGACAAAACTCAAAGCAGAGACACGAGTGGCTGTGAAAGAAGAAAGGGATTTATTTCAGTGAGGCCAACACTGGAAAGACAGCGAACTAGTGTCTCAAAGGCTATCTCTGAAGTGCCGAAAATATTTCCAGATTTATATAGGTAAATGTGGGGCAAAGATGGGTGGTTATGTGCAGGTGGGCAGTGAAGGTCTAACTGATCATTGTCTCAGAGTCAATCACCAGTGGCGTCTTGCTGGCTCAGGGCAATCCTTGTTGCTGGAGGGGTAGTTTTGTTCCCTTGAGGAGATGCTTTGCCCATAGGGTCTTCCCCCTGAGACAAGAGGCCAGTTGGAAAGAAGAACCCAACTGGAGAGTTTGAGGTCAAAATGGAGGCAGCCCAAGTCCCCAGTCATATGCTCCCCCCAGAGTGGTTTTCACCACACCCAGAACCAAACAATCATGTAGGAGAAGTTGAGATAAGGCCCTAGAGAGAGCTGGGGTACCTCTGACCTTTCTCCAAGGGCAGAGATGAACAGGATAACATCTCAGCCCTTCGTCCTCAGACAGAGTAAATAATGCTTGAAAGATTAAAGGTGGCGCAATATTTACACACTCTCCCTGATTAAAAAACAAACCATCTGAGCCTTAGCAAAGGGAAGAGGCTGGTGGGTAGGCCCGTGGGGGCATTCAAGCTGTGCTAATGTGGAATACAGGAAGAGGTCAACATTTACTGAGTCTGTGGTGGACACTGTGGACCTTGTCCATATGTTACTCCTGGCAATTCCCATAGAAACTCAACAACATGTATGGTGTGACATTTATTGTTTCCATTTTATAGATGAAAAAACTGAAGCCAAGGGGGTTTTAGAGACTTGCCAAATGCAGGCAGCTAGATAAAGGGGGGCAGCATGTATTCACCTGATTTGAAGGTCCGGTTTCTCCTGCGGGCACACCTTGGCTGGGAGGGCACACAGACACTGGAACCCCCGGACCACCAATCCTACACAATGCTCCTTCCGAAAAGGCCCATGGTTCAGGAAATCTGGGAAATGCTACATGGGGTAAGCTTCTTTTATGCTGTCACAGTTCAGGTGACTTAAGTAAAGGCTCTCAGAAGTGCAGCAGAAAAAAAATGAACCTTGTCAGATTCAAAGTTTCCTAAATACCTTGAACCAAGAAACACCACCCCCGCGCCCCCGCCCGCATGGCTTAATTTCCCCCCGAGGGTCCCAAGAACACAGCACTGGAGAAAGCTGTCTATACTCGTAATAAAGCGTGTTGGCCTGTTTTCCCCATAAACCAGCAGCGACCAATCTGGGAGCCACAGTTTGCCTCCTGTGGTTTACCCGGTTCCCTCTCCCCTTTCAGTGGTTGGGTTTAGTATCCTCTGAAGCTTGTGGCCTAAATCACTCATTTCAGTAGGGAATGCAAAATAGTGATGTCTCTGTTTCCTTTATCCTTCACCATTTATTCACTAGGAAATTCCTGAATTGCCAAGTGAAGATTCCTTGCCTGTGAAACCGTTTCTTCGTGACTTCTGTAGGAACACTATGGGAACAGTGAGTCTGGAAAAAAGTGGATGGGGACGGGCTGCTAATCCGAAAGCATTCACCAAGCTTTGGGGGCAGCACAATGGATTCATGACAGGTAGGACCCAAGAGATAACTTGGCAAGACAGTACACATTCATATTCCAGACGGTGCCCAGGCCTCTGAGTGCAAGTGTCCCCAGTTCTCACTGAACTCCCGAGTTTCTCAGCTTATTTACTACATTCTTTAAATTACTAAAGCCATCAAACTAACGTGTGCCTCCCTAACTGCCAAAGAAAGGCAGGTGTTGGGCTGGAATAAAAGTGGGCAGCCGGACAAAGCAACACGTCTATGTTTATAAAACACTTTCTCATCCACTAAGTATGCCTCAAAAGTTGCCTCTTGTCATCACAATAGCCCTCCCAGACAGACAAAATGATCATTATAACCCCTATTTCCAGAAGAAAACGTGTGAAATGAAGTGTGTTAGTTCATAAGCACATCTACTGTTTCCTCTTTTCCTTATTTTTTTGCTATTTTGAGAATTAGGTGAAAAAATGTAGCTAGTTTATTACCATGTGAGGCATCACAGAACTGCCTGCCATGAACCCCTGCATGGGACACCCAACTGGGGACCACCGACCCTCCTACAAACACAAGCACTGCCCTGGACACACAGCGTGTGCAAGCTGCCCACACAACTCTGGTCCATACAGGTGCTCTGTAACAGGGCCAGCTTTCCCCCACTGCGACCAGCAATCTGTCTGAGCTCACAGATCCTGTTCCTAAGTCAACAGGGAAGCGCTGAGGACAGCCCTGTGTGTGATTGTCATTTCCGAACTTGGATGGGCATGTGAGATTCTTCCACAAACCTGGGACTCAAAAGTATTCAGCGATGTTTGCATTTTTACCTTCTATACTCTGTCCCTGTAGGGACCATGTAGGGTGGTTAGGCCTTTCTTAAGTTTTATGAAATAATGTAGCTGGATCTCTTGCCTACTGTTACGTTCTCTTATACACTAGACCACATAGCCTGCTCCATATTTAAAGGTTTTATCCATTTATTTGAAAGAAAGAGAGAGCACAAGCAGGGGCAGGGGAAGAGGCAGAGGGACAAGCAGACTCCCGATGAGTGGGAAGCCCCACCGAGGCTCGATCCCAGGACCCCGAGATCATGACCTGAGCCGAAGTCAGGTGCTTAATGGACTGAGCCACCCGGGAGCCCCTGCTCCATATTTATTTTTGTTTGTTTGTTTTTAAGATTTTATTTGTCAGAGAGAGAGTGAGAGCACAAGCAGTGGGGAGTGGCAGGCAGAGGGAGAAGCAGGCTCCCCACCAAGCAGGGAGCCTGACATGGGGCTCAATCCCAGGACCCTGGGATCATGACCTGAGCAGAAGGCAGATGCTTAACGGACTGAGCCACCCAGGTGCCCCAATCCCTGCCCCATATTTAAAGTAGCAAAGATACATATTAACTTGGAAGAAGTCCTTCTCATTGTGGCAACATGAAATCATGGGGAAACATGGCTCTCAGTAAAAACGAACCGGATTCAGATCCCAGGTTAGCTGCTCAGCAAGGCATTTTTCCCTTTATATATTCCTTTATTGAAATTCTCTAGCTCGTAGTCCTCCACGCAGTGGGAAACTAACAGAAGGCTCTAAAGAGCATATTTAAAAACAATGTTGTGCATCTGAAATTGCACAAGCTTGCTGGTCTGTCCTTTGTCAATGTCAATCACCCGCCCAGCGCCCAAGGCGGTTACATCCAATCTGCGTTCCTGCCAGTGGTGCCCGACAGTCCCGGTACCCTACACCTTCACCAAAGGCATTTCAAGGGACCCGATCGTCTTCACTTGGGGCCCGCAGAAGTCTGTAGAGACCCGAACCTAAGCCTCCCCCTTCCCTTCCCGATCCGACGCCGCGGGCTCCTGCGCCGCAGCCGCGCGTCCGCCCCCCACCCCCGGACTGCTGCGGGCGGTGCACGCCGGCACTCCCAGCGGGCCCGGGCCCGGCCAAGGTGCCCTTGCGAGCACGCGGGCATACAGCCTCAAGCGGACGCAGGACCCCGGCCCGTCGGCGTCGGGACCGTCACCACCGCGCCAGGAGCGACCGCCAGCCAATCCTGGGCGGGCCCCGGCCGTTTTACGGCAGCAGGCCCCGCCCCCGAGGGCCGGTAAGGGGCGGTGAGAAGGTGTGCGGCGCGCGCGAGCCAATCCGCGTCGCCACGTCCAGCCCTGCGTCCTCCCATAGGCCGAGAGCCGGTTGGCGCGGCGCGGCCGTAAGGCGGAGCCGGCTGTCGTGAGGCGAGCCCGCGGGCGGGTGCGGTGTTAGCGCTGTCCGCTAGGCTGGGTGTCGTTGGGCTCCGAGGAGCGGAGGCGAGGGCAGTGTGGGCGGTCTGGTGTCGGGCACGGCCATGGCGGGCGCGCTGGTGCGGAAAGCGGCGGACTATGTCCGGAGCAAGGACTTTCGGGACTACCTCATGAGGTGACGAGACCCCCGGGCCGGACCCCCGGAACCACCGAGGTCTCCCGGAGGTCGGGTCCGCGCCGCCCGGGACGCGGAGCCCCAAGGGCGCGGTAGCCGGGCAGCGGGGCAGCGGGGCGGTGGTCGAGCGGCGGGGCGGCGCCGGGGCAGGGGCCGGCCGGGCGGGGGACCGACGGGGCAGCGGGGCGGCGGCGGCCGGCCGGGCGGGAGACGGCGGGGCGGTGGACCAGCGGGCAGCGAGAGGACCCTCGCCCCCGGCGCGGTTTCCTGGCTGGAAGTCGCCGAGTCCCCGAAGTTGGGCGGGGCCTGGTGCACCTGTCCGGCAGCTGCGCGCCCAGGTGTGCGGTGTCGGCGCCGGGATGCGGGGCTGGAAGGCGCCAGTGGGAGGCGCTGTGTGAGCGCAGGTGCGCGGCAGGTGCGCGGCAGGTGCGCGCGGACTCCTCTCCTGCAGCTACGGAAATACAGATGCTGAATCCAGCTCGCCTTTCGGTTTTTTCGTTTGAAAGACTTTCAGTCAAAGCCGGGAGGGGAGTCAGATCTCCCATGTTTGTGTGGGTGTTTTTTTTTTTTAAGAATTTATCTATTTGACAGAGAGAGACACAGCGAGAGAGGAACATAAGCAGGGGGAGTGGGAGAGGGAGAAGCAGGCTTCCCGCTGAGCAGGGAGCCCCGATGCGGGGCTCGATCCCAGGATCCTGGGACCATGACCTGAGCCGAAGGCAGACGCTTAACCACTGAGCCACCCAGGCGCCCCTCACATGTTTTTATATACGAATATTCTGCCAACCAAAGTGGAGTGTCTCCAAGGACATACTTTCTCTTACTCGATTTCCTTTCCAGTTAGAATCAAAGGGCATTTGCGAGTAAAGGCCTGAAGACACACTTTCTGTATTTTATTTTCTCCTCGAATCTTGAGACGCCTGCTTTTATTTCAGAATATTTAGTATAACTTTGAAACAGTTTTAAATAGTTTTTTTTTTAGGGGTATAATTTTTCGTTTTCCTGGGTTGTGATTTTAAAACTTAGGTAGGTGTAGGGTCGCGTTTTGGGTTTGTTCTTTTTTTTTTTTTTCCAATAGTTAATAGTGCGGTAAAGAAGCAAAGTGATGACAGCTGAGGAGAAATAAGTCCTATAACTATCCAAAGGATGCAGTGTGAAGGCAACTGAATTTTTGCCAGTATAAAAAGGATTAATTTTTAAGGCCTGAACTTTGTTGCAAATACTGTTTACTTCTCATTTTACAGAGCAGTACCATGAGAGATATAATTCAGTCTCAAATGATAGAGTAAATTTGGAAACAAGCTTCACCCCTGACTTTCCAGATAGAAAGTTTCTGTACTTAAATAGGACTGTGATTGGGGCACTTGGGTGGCTCAGTCATTAAGCGTCTGCCTTCGGCTCAGGTCATGATCCCAGGGTCCTGGGATGGAGTCCCCATGTAGGGCTCCCTGCTCAGCGGGCAGCCTGCTTCTCCCTCTCCCACTCCCCCTGCTTGTGTTCCCTCTCTCACTGCCTCTCTATGTCAAATAAATAAAATCTTTAAAAAAATTTTTTTTAAATAAATAGGACTGTGATTAAGACAAATGTTTAGTACTGTGGAGCAGAGTGATTTATCAGATTAATGTGTTGGGGAAATCTGAGCAAGTAGTAATACGAGGATATGTTCTTAGTTCCTGCAGTTAAGTTTCTCTGGCTTTGAATGTTACCTTTTTTACTAATGTTTTCTGCTTTGGATAATGAGTCTTCCTAATCCTTAGGTACAGCTAGGGATAAAATTGTACAGAATAATTAAAAATAAAGCGATTACACTCATTCATATTTTTAAAAAATACTGACGTTACCTAATGTTTGTAATAGTGTTATGTAATGTGATAATAGGAATTATGTAATAATAGGAATAGTTTGTTCCTAACCAGGAAGAGAGCCTGGTTTTCTATTTCTTATTTCTATTACTATTTTTACTATTATTTTCTTTCTTTTTCTTTTTTCCTCTAGTAGGTAGTTTTCTGAGAGCCAGCCTTCTCCATTAAATACTTTGACATATGGCTTAACCTGTTTTCCTAAGATTAACTTCATGTGGCTTACTGTGCATATACTTTTTCCAGTGTTACTTTGAGTTAAGCTTTGACTCAATGAGGAAAAGAAGAGAATAGCAGTGTCAGGAAGAGAGCAGCCTGCTAGGGTACCAGACAGAAGAACCACTCCTAACCAAGGGATCGCAAGCAAGTCTAATCCCAGTGGACCTCGGTTACTATGATGTGGGTTTAATGATAATGCCCTGTCTGGTTGGGTTCTTGAGAACATTAAACTGGATGAGGGATGTGAAAATACTCAGAAACTCCAAATCACTGTTCAATTAATATTCTATTTTTTTGCGTGTGAACAGAAACACAGTATACTGTTACAGAAAAAGTTAAAATCTCAAGTGTGAGGCATAAAGCTCTGTGATTTCTGACCTGGAATTACTTTTGTGAACTGAGTAGGTGAGTAGGTGGAGGGAGCTGCCAGGCGTGTACTCCGTACCATTCTTGGCGCAGTGGGGTTTCCTGCTGGCGCTGCCAGTGATGGAGGTTTGAGGGCTGGTATCCGAACTCTCACCAGATCTTTATGTAAGCTTTTTCTCCTAGAAAGAGAAACTCTTCCTCCTAGAACTTACCAGAGGAAAGTTTTCCCTCTCTGTTCTTCCAAGCTCTTGCTCACAGCCCTGCTATGCTTTTGTAAAGAAGAATGAAGCATAAGGAAGAAAACTTCATTGTGTCCCTCTTTCAGATCAGAAATGAGGTTCTTCTCACCTCCTCAAGAACTTGTTCTATCTACTTTGTACTCCCTACCGTCTGAAGATCTGGATTCTTTTTACAGCCTACTGAAGGGATATAGAGATTTTTCTAAATTAAAGCTGTTCCAGGATTTTAAAAACTATTTTAATAACGTAGTTGAGTGTTTCAGAAAAAAATTTGAAATCATATCTCATACAGATTTAAAGTTCTGTCAATCACATTTTATGAGTAAGATTGAAATGTCTTTCTTACTAAAGTGGATTTCCAAGTGTATTTTTTCTTTTTAAGATTTTATTTTTAAGTAATCTCTACACCCAACATGGGGCTCCAATTCATAATCCCGAGATCAAGAGTAGCATGTTGTATCGACTGAGACAGCCAGGCACCCCTCTGAGTGTATTTTGAGATGTTGATTTTTTTCACTGAGAAAGAGGAGTTAAGGAAACAGGCTCTAACCATAGGTAGTGTGTGGACTTTGATTGGATTCAGCATAGAAGAAAACAGCTGTAAAAGGCATTACCAGGACAACCAGGGACAATTAAGTAAGGTCTTAATATTAAATAATTACTGACAATTTTTACTAGAAGTGATTTACAGTATTATTAAACCCAAATGATGAGTTAGAACCCTAGCCCTGGTAATTTTTAGCTGTTTGGTCCTGGGCAATTACTTACCTTTTGTGCTTTGGTAGCTGTTTAACAATATAGCATAGTGCTTGACGAGAGTAATATTCCATGTTTAGTTCCCTGGGTTCTGGCACACTCTCTTTTTGGTGCCTTCCATCGCTCATGATTTCTTACCTTAATGAGGATCTTGAATCAAGAACTTCCTGGACCTCTGTCATTATTACTTTTTAAGTAATCTCCATGCCCAGTGTGGGACTTGCACTTGCACTCATGACCCTGAGATAAGAGTCATGTGCTCTACTGACTGAGCCAGCAGGCACCCCATCTTTTTTTTTTTTTTTTAATCATATACCTTCTTGATGGAGTAAAAAAAGATACTCTTTTTGCTTTTGCTGTTCCTGTCCTCATTCCTTGCTGTCTTTGCATTCCTCCCCTGTCCTGAATTTTGGTTCGGAAGAATAAATGAGATTGAACAAGTAAGTTGTGAGGTGTAGGACATATGCTTTAATGATGGAATCAGTCACAGTCTACAGATTTCGCCCCCTTCCTGAGAGGTGAACGGGTATGTGTGTATGCATGTATGTATTTGGATATATACGTGTAAAAGATGTTTTCTTAAGCAGAACCTAGGTCATGGAGTGTTTTTAAATTCGTTAGCCTGTTAGCACACTTACAAATCTGAAATTAATGGGGTGTTTGCCATGAATATTCTTTAGTTAATAAGGTATGCTGTTCTAATTTTAACTCCTTGTTTTCTGGAAAGCTTTAAAGATTTCTCCTTACTACCCAGGTGAGAAGTTGCAGTAGAACAACAGGGACCCCTTCCCAAATGATAGAATAGCAGAGCTGGAACAGACCTTAGGAGTCTGATAGTCCAACACCTCACTTTGCCACATGAGAAACTGATATTTAGACCAAACTTGAGACCCTCTGGACACCAAGTTTGTGGAGCCACAGCAGGAATGTGGGGTTAGGATTTAGAGGAAAATAGTAATGCACAAAAATGGTTCAAAAAGAAGTAGGGTTGGGGCGCCTGGGTGGCTCAGTCAGTTAAGCGTCCAACTCTTGATTTCGGCTCAGGTTGTGATCCCAGAGTCCTGAGATCGAGTCCTATGTCAGGCTCTGTGCTCAACGCAGAGTCTGCTTGTCCCTCTCCCTCTGCTCCCCGCCCCCCCGCTCGTTCTTTCTCTCTACCATAAATTAATTAATTAAATCTTTAAAAAAAAAAAAAAGAAAGTGTAAGGTCCTTTGTGCCTCTCTTCCCTGCCATGCTGCTTCTGGCACCCTGCCCCTGGTTTTCCTTCCCCGCCATATAACTGACCTTCAGACATTTCGTGAAGCAGATAGTGTTGAAGCAGGACTGGCCACAAGAGAGCCTTGTTGTCTGTACAGTCTGGTTTCCAGAGGTCTTTTCTGTCGTCCAGTTAGTTTGGACCAGACAAATGGTCCAGTGGAACATCACCCATTCTAGTTGTGAAAACTTCCTCATTTTAACTTGAATTAGAAAATCTGGTAAAACTTGGTGACAATAAATAAGATGTAGGTGAGCATTTTCACGCTGCAGGAGAACTGCAGCTTAGAGCATCTCAGACTCTTA